AACAGCAAAGAGGGAAAGAACTGTATACAGTTTGGTTAGGCACACACACGCAGGGAGTCTCAACGACAGTGTAACTCAGAACATAGTTTACTAAGTGGAACTATTAATTATGGTCAAGAACACGTCAAAATGTATTCTAGATGGAAATATGCACTGGCAAAAGTTCATGGGCTTGACATGTAGTTTTATTCAAAATAACAGAGAGGGACATTGTTTCCAAGGGGCTGCTGCTTTCTGAAATGAGTCTGTCTAGCATAGCTCAGAAGAGTTATGGAGCATGCTTTTACAATAGCAAGGTTTGTCAAGACATACAAAATAGGGTAAGTACACAGAACTATTAAAGATACAGCACTGTTTGAAGTTTTCTGCTATTTGCTGGTATTCGGGCTAACTGTCATAGATGGAATTATTTCCTATTTCTAGAAAAGTGCTACCATTAAATTGTATATGAAAAATTACTGCTAAATTTCTGCAAGAGTTTCATTGCGCTTGTTTCTTTCCTCCCTTCTCTCCCTTCTTCCTTCACACACATGCAAGAACAAAATACAATTTAAGCGACAATCTGTGCCTACTGACAACATAACTTGAACTCTTCTGCAGTTTATCTGAGAAAAAAATCCGAGAAAAAAAGTCTCATGTTTTTTCCTAGTGTTTTACAGCAATTCAGTCCCTCTGAATTCACTCTGAATCCACTCCTACTGGATCCTGGCCATCAGAAGGACTCAGCCACTTTTCAGGGCTGGTGAGGTTTATTTCCTCCAGCAGACAGATAGCAGGTTAAAGGTAAGGCAGCCAACACAAGTAAGGGAAGACCCTTGCTGGCACTCACCGTGAACAGACCACCCAACAACACATAAGCTGCCCGCTGCTAAGGCAGCAGCAGCAGAACTGGCTACCGTCAGTGTGTGTGTTAATATCCAGACAAGTATCTAAAGGAAAACATCTATCACGAGGAAGAAGAAAGTACCAGAGAGGTAGGTGGACTTAAACAGACCCGTATGGGAATAGTGCACTGAATTAGGTGCTAGAGGGAGGCATCTGGCACCAACTTGTTTGGCTGCAGTGATGTAACTTGTGTATCCCAACAGCATACAATGATAGCTTAACATAGCCATTGAAGACTATATGGAAAATATGAAGACATGGACTGAAAACATGCTCATGTCAGGTGCGGCACTCCTCATTTAAATTTAAAGGTTTTGACTTTTCAGACTCAGCTATGGCAGCTGCAGCTGACGTTCAGAAGTTCTCACCTTCTTGTACTATTTCTTACATCACAATAAAAAACTGCATTTTGTTTAGTACATTTTTCACTCATACACAACATCAGCATTTTATTATGTCATTTAATAGTCCATGAGATACACGGATCGAACTTGTATTTTCAGTGTTTGCTTTAGTAGTTGCTCGTTATTTCTATTGGACCTTTCATCAGTAATTTGCATAACACTTAAGAATTTTTTTTGATTGTATTATCCCAAACCAAAATCAAGCCAAACATGCATTTCCACAGCATGAACTATAGCACACCGTAAATAATATTCTTTCGCTTGTGTCTTCAATCTGACTCTCCAGAACACTTTCCTGCCCATTTACAATGCCACTATGGAAAGTAGATGACAAATCCCAGAAGCAACAGATTAATATTTTACTGGTGGTCATCTAAACTGCATTAGCTGGTAACACACCTGTTTCCAGCACACCTCGCAAAACAGAGCACATTCAGCTTTGTACATGCACAATACTGAGATCCTAAATGAAGAGAAGCCACAGCACGATCTTTTTTTGAAGAGAACCTACAGATGCCAACCAGCTCTTTCCCTGGCTGAACAGCATGCAGAACACAAAGGGCTGTAACGTGACAGTCTTGGGCTGGAATGAAATATCATCAACAAATATGCTAAATTTACTGGGAGTCAAAGCAACTCCTTAAAGCATAACATTTTAAAAAGCTCTCTACGCAGTGTAATATCCAGAATGAGTGTGCGATGACATGGAGACTGGAAGGAAGGGAACAATCAACCTGTAGTCCCAATTTCAGGACTTTCTGGCTGGTTCTGCAGGTAAGTACAGCCCTGAAGGCTCCAAAGGACTTTTTAAGAAAGCAGACTGCAGAGGGGGTGATACTCATTAGGCAGATGATGCAGAAGCCACCATAGGAGAAATCTTCCATTACTCAGATCTACCAAAAGCACTCTGTTGCCTACCACTGGCACACTAACAAAAGCAGATTAGACATCCCACGAAATCATGGTTTATATCAATATTAGATCATACATAATTCAGGCACTGTGAAAGGGCAAGGAAAAAGAAACACTAAAGATTTAGAAGTATACTAAATTAAGCAAAAAGAATGCCAGTACAGATGTTCCTTTTTAAAGTTACAGATAGCTTCAATTGATGGCTTTTCTTTAAAGTCTCCACAAACCAGCAAACGCTCCTTATAATATTTAAATTATTCAGTACTTCTTAATAAGATAAACACAGGAAAACTAGAATATACCTTTTCACAGCTCATTTTATTCTTTCTGCTATTACTACACATTTCATTTCCGCTTGAATAGATCTCACACTATTTAATACGATAGTCATTTTGTTTAAGAAAGTTACAGGAGTTTCCATGCATTTGGTTAGTGGTTAAAAAAAAATGCACTGTGAAAGGATGGTTAAAAATTCACCTCCTGCAACTTAATACCCACAGCATTAAATTAACAAATCTGCAAGAATCATGCATTGCAACTCTTTGCTAATCATTCTAAGTAAAATTATCTACAGTTTTAATCTGAAGAAAATTTAAGGAATCTCACATCAAATAATGGAATACTTCCTTTGGAGACAAATTTTAGGGTGTTTTCATCCTACACAGAACACTTTAGATGTCTCCACTACACCAAAAACTCAAGTTCAACAAACCATTCAGTTTAATACAAGGAATCACAAAGTCACAGTGGTTGGAAGGAACCTCTGGAGATCATCTAGCCTAACCCTCTGCTCAAGCAGGATCCTTACAGTAGTTTGCATAGAAAAATGTCCAGGTGGGTCTTCAATACTTCCAGAGAAGGAGACTGCACAACCTATTCTGACTCTCTGTCACTCACAATAAAGAAGTTCCTCCTCATGTTTGCCTCAAACTTACTGTATTCCAGTTTCTGCTTGTTGCCCCTTGTTCTATTGCTGCATGCCACTGAAAAGAGCCTGGACTCTCTCTACTTGACTCCTGCCCTTTAGATATTTATAAACATATTTATAAGCATTGATGAGACCATCCCTCTCTTTTCTTCTCCAGGCAGAACAGCTCCAGCTCTCTCTGCCTTTCCTTGTAAGGGAGATGCTCCGGGCCCCTCATCATCTTTGTGACCCTCTGCAGGACTCTCTCCAGCAGTTCTCTGTCTTTGAACCGGGGAGCCCAGAACTGCACCCAGTACTCTAGATGTGGCCTCACCAGGGAAGAATAGAGGGGGAGGATCACTTCTTGACCTGCTAGCCTTGCTCTTAATGCAACTCAGAATATCACTGGCTTTCTTGGCCACAAGATTACACTGCTGATTCATGGTCAACCTGTTGCCCACCAGAACATTCAGATCTTTCTTTGCAGAGCTCCTCTACAAGAGGTCAGCCCCTACCTAGAATGTACTGCTGTATACAGTTGTTCCTCCCCAGATGCAATGCTCTACACTTCTCTTGCTGAAATCTATCAAGTTGCTCTCTGCCCAACTCTCCAGACTGCTCAGGTCTTGCTGAATGGCAGCACTGCCTTTTGCTCTGTCAGCCACTCCTCCCAGCTTTGAAACATTAGCAAACTTGCTGGTGAACTTTATCCCTTCATTCAGGTAGCTGATGAAGATGTTGAAGATGACTGGACCCAGCATTGACCCCTGGCGAACACAACTAGTAACAGGCCTCCAACCAGATTCCACCATTGGTCGTGACCCCTTGAATTCTATGAGTCAACCGGTTCTCAATCCACTTCATTGTCCCACTCATCTATCCCACATTTCCTACTCATCTTTACAAGGATGTTGTGGGAAATTTTGTCAAAAGACTCGCTGAGACAAAGGATGCATCTCCCCTCATTTAACAAAACTGTGATGACATCATAGAAGGCTACCAAAGTGGTTGAGCATAAATTCCCCTTGGTGAATATATGTTGACTACTTCTGATAACATTCTTTTTTTTCCAACTGCTTGGAGATGGCATCCAGAACAAGTTGCTCCACAACCTTTCCAGGACAGAGGTAAGTCTGACTGGTTTGTAATTGCAAAGATGACAAAGAACAGTTCAGCAATCACTTCTGCCGGTTCTTCATGCTTATTTTATTTAATTAAGCTAGAAACAAGTGAACAAAACTTCTTGGATAAAACAAGAAGGCACTGCTCCTTGTCCATGCTCCATCAGACAAAGAAAGAAGTAAGCAAAGAAACCATATCTCTGGAGGCAGAAAAGAAGGAGATGACTAGCAACCACAACCCTCTTTTTTTAGGAAATTTGGGCCTCAAATAGGAGTTTCCTGATAACTATAACTTGCCCTATTTTGTCTGCATGAAAAAAAAGATTGCTTTGTGAAAAATAGGCTGACAGAAACTTCTTTGCTGCAGTTGCTGATGGAGACCAGCTATTGGCATTGTACATTGCAGAGAACATTGTCCTGTGAAAGCTGCAGCAGTGTTAAATAATCATATAACAAACATGAAAGGAGCTTTGTTTTGGAAATGTTTTCAAAAAGAATTAATAAGTTCAGGAAACACTGTTGATTTCCTGAGAACATGGAGTGCACTCATCATGAATCATTAACTCTCGCTTGAGATCATCATTAGCCACACAAAAGCAGAATTATAGAACAATACATTTTAGAAACAACTTACCAACCAAACAATTGGATAAAATTGCTCATAAAGCCATGAGTAATTTGGGAAAAAACTAATCGGCAGCCAGATAAACAAGAACATCAGTAAACAGATTTAAATGACATAGGTTTTTTGTAAAAGAAGGAGCTCAGAACAAAGTTTTCAACCATCTTTAATTCTTTTTGTCCTCACAGTTTACATTTCTAAACAGTGCAGGGGAAGAAAAGGTTATGGGATATCCTCAGGAACGAGATTTTTTTATCTACCCTTGCTAACCTGCAGTGCAGGACTTTCATGAAAGGCAGACACATAAAGATCTAACTTATTGACTGGACAGAGACAACACTGAAAACCTAAACTTCCAATGCTAGTTTCTGAAGAAGTTCATTCAACAGCTTCACAGTCCTTTGGTTTTCTCCTCCATTAGGTTTAATTCTGTATGCAGTACGGATAAGAAGGCTACTAACTTCCTTGCTCATGTCAGTTGTCTCAGTAATCTGAAAAAGCAGAGAAATGGGAAATAATGCAGTTAATGTATTAAGTGCAAGTTATTCCTTATTACTATCAGCAATATAACCACAGATCTGTCCCTTACAGCTGAGCACGAGATGCTCTGAAAATAAAAACTGAGCTCAAAAGAAAGTTTCATTTTGTCCGTTTTGACACCTCCTGGATGAGCTCGGCATCTTTGAGACATCTGAGGTTCTCTAAGACTAAAGAGAAATAAATCAAGATCTCTAAAAGTTTTTAAACACAAATAGACAGACAGTGCAACAATTCAGGAGCTGTCTCCTTTGAAACCAACTGAAAGCATGGGTTTAGGGAGACAATTCAATTCTATAATGTTTCAAAGGGTAAAAGAATATCCCTCTGCTAGACAATAACAAAAAAGGCATAATTTTTGCAGATCTGGTGGGTTAATCTCAAATTTTACTAAGCCAACCAAAGTCACTGCCACGCAGCACAATTTGGTGCTGTGTGTGGTTTTGGATACCTTAATAGAAGAAATACATAAGACTATCAAGGAGTGTAAGTTAAATATAGGCATCTGTTAGTTGCAAGATTCTGCATGGAGAATTTCTGCAGCTTTATTGTTAGGACAGAATATTTTTTCCAGTGAGATCTTGTCAAGGTGCGTCAAGAAGGAAAATAGTTCGACTGTACCTGAAATAAAAAACTGCTTTTATGTTGACCCACAATGGCAGAGGAGGATGTTGATATGTAGCAACAGAGGTCGAACCTTCCAACCAATATTCAATTACATTTTGGCACTGTGCAACAGATGGCAGCTGAGGGGCAGCCTGACATGGAAGTGTGTATGAAGCAAAGGCTTGTCATTGAATTCTTCCATATTAAAAACAATTCACCCTCTCTGACATTCACTGATGCTGAATGTTTATGGAAACCAAACGGTGACGCAGTGGGTGGTGTGTCTCAGCAGTGGCAACAGTGACAGTTACCGAGCTGAAGGCTCAAACTTCCAGAATCAGACTGGAAAAGACGACAACCTTTGTCTTGTTAACACGATACGGGCAGGCCCCACACCAATTTGAAGACCATGGAGCACAGTGCCAATCTTGGCTGGACTGTTCTGTCACACCTACCGCAAGTCTAGATTTGGTGCTTTCTAATTTCCATCTGTTCAGGCCAATGCAAGATGGACTGTGTAGGCAACGTTTTCCTAGCAATGATGCCATCATAGCAGCAGTGAAACATCTGTTAGCACAGATTTTTACAAGCATGGTATGCAGACATTTGTTCACTCCTGGAGAAAATGCATAGCTAATGGTGGTGACTCTACTGAAAAACAGTGCTTTGTAGGTAAGAATTTGCTCAATCAAATAGTGTTAACGTGTTCTTTGTTTCTGTTGAAGTTTCCATGGAATTAAATAGAAGACATTTCTTTCAGAGTGACCCATGCAGATTATACAGCAGGTTATCTATTGTTTGTATAGTCAGATGTTCTTCAGTTCTCTTTCTTAAGATGTAGAATCTTAAATCTGAGTTTGTAAGAAAGGTATGTTTTACTTAAACTGGGGTAGGGGGAAGGGGGAGAAGGAAAAAAAAACAAAACACAAAACAATCACCACTTACATGGGAAATAAATTCCTGTGCAATCATGTGTCCTCCAGAAGAAAAGAGTAAAAAGTTGGTGAGAAGATGTGTTATTAGACATTGGGTAGGATATTGTTCTGTATCTGCTATACTGTTTACAGAAGCCTGCAGCTCTCCAAATGAAAGGACAGTACGGTTGTAGAACATCATTAGATGACTGTAGACTGCTCGAGATTCTACCTGTAAGGAACAATTTCAAAGCATGCAGGATCAGAGAAGAGTAAAGGTCACCCATGGTATTTTTCCGACGGATTTATTCACTAATAGGAAAGGGAATACTTGGCAGAAATACTCATAAGTCTGCATTTAGGCAGCAAGACAAAAAGGGAAAGAAGGCAGTGCACACATTTCTTTCATACTGATTCACACACAAATGTGGGCAGAATGGATTTATTAACTTTCCTTAGTCTTGCAAACTAAGCAAGGAAGGCACAAAGCCAGGATTTGAGCTTTTTTAATAATAAAAGGAAATAGAGAAAGTCCTTCAGTTGAACGTGGTCAGATTTTCGCATTGTGGGAAAAAGAACAGAGGATCCTCAAGGGCTCATTTCAGCCTTGCTGCTAAAATCAATTAAATCCCCATGCAATCTGACCTCAACTGATAAAACGTCTGGTAAGAATGCCATTTTTTTCCATCTTCCTGTGTTGCTTGCAAATTATGTTTCTACCTTTTGAGTTAGCCAATAAAAACTTACTTTTACTGGGTATAGAAGACAGAAGACTTTGGCTCTTACACAACATAAAAAGAATTAACATTAATTTTGTTCACTCTATCTAAACTAAACAAATTGGTAAGTAAGTAAATAAATAGATAAACACTTAACCTACAAACAGGGACCAGAGAAAAAATACAGCACTGCAAACTCAAAAGGACAGCTATTTCTCAACCATGTTCAGAAAGACATCTTGTTTCAGTCAGTTACCTGACCTCATTTTTTCTCATCCCTTCTCCGCTAACATAAATAGTCTGAAAAGGCTATAATAAAAAAGCAAGACCTAACTTAAGGCATAAGCTTAGCATTACCTGTAGGAATACATGTCAAGTAGCTTAATCTGTGGAAAATAAGGTTTTTTCACTCTAAATAACTCAAGAAAAAATCACACTGAACTATCACTAACTGCATGGCATCTCGGTGGAAAAACTTTCTTCTTACTGAAGTCTGTCATACAATGACTGAGAATAACAAACTGATAGTATAAGGGACAAACAGGAAGGATTTATAAATGGGGCAATGTGATTTCATTCTGAGGTGCTGGAACTGAAAAATGCTGTGCATATATAGAGCTCAGCACTTACAAGGCCTTTGGCTTTACTCAGCTGTATTTATTGCTGGGGTACTGAGTACTATCTCAAAAGCATATTCTAAAACTCTGGTTTCTTTACTCTGCTGTACCTCTAATCTAACCCAACCAGTATTCCACCTCTGCTCCTGGAGTATAAGAAATTGAAGAGAAAAAAATTTAAAAGTGACTGATATGTGAACTTGCATAGGTAGTAGGGGGAAGGAAGGAATGACTGTTATAAAAGGTACTGGATAGTCAGATGTAAAATGAAAGCACGATGTTTTACTAGTGTGATGTATTAAGCAGCATTTTTAAATCAAATCAGTTTTTGAACTAAGGAAAACTAGACACTATCGTCAGATTTTAAAACTGGGCTTACTAGATCAGATTGCTCAAGCTAGTTCAGACTTGCATAACAGGTCTCAGTTAAAGACTTCCACGCATTTACAGGCACACAGAGAGACACATCAGTCTATGCAAGACAGGGACTAAGTTCTGATATTGCTTCATTCTGCTAGAGATTTAGCATGTGGGAATGTTATATATTTATATATATATGGCATATATCTCTGCTGATTTTTGGCACATATATAAGATAAATCAGAGTGGATGGGTGAGGTTGGGATTCAGGGATTCTGTGATGATTATCTTCACTATTAAAACTAGTGCTGTGAATTGTCTGGTGTTTCCTTCTCAGAAGAAGCCATCGCAGAAGAGTCCAGAATTCTGTAACTCCCAGAGTCATTTTATTTTTAATTCAAAGCATTTACTTTATTGAAAAAAAAAAGACAAAAGGTGCTAATCATATAAATCTTTAAAAAATGGGAAAAGTTTTCTAAATGTCACCAAGAAAATTCATAGGAATTAGTTTTCCACTTCTCCACTGCAATAGAGAATCCAAGAGACCATGCAAAACCAGTACCTTCTTCAGAGTAGAGCTTTCATTTTTCTGGTATGCTGGTTGCATGCTATTTATTTTATAGATATTTAGATATATATAGATATAGATATTAGCAGACTACTTAGTGATTACTGCTGATTATTACTACACTACCTACCATTGTTTGAGTCCTTTGTTGGTCTTCATTCTCAGGACAGTAGTAGAAAGACAACAGCCACAGCAAAGCATCTGGGGCTACAGCTGCTTTCATTAATTGTTCTGCTGCAATATCCAGCCATTCTCCAAAACAAGCAACCAAAAACCAGATTTCATAAAGGTCAGCAAAAGAGCTGGAAAATGAAAATAATGCACTTAAATATTTTATTAAACATTTTAAAATTTCTTAGGTTAACTGCAAAGAGCACTGACATGAAAATAAAAATAGCTTTAAGATAATGCTTTACCTGCTAAGCAGACTCATTTACTCTATTATCAGCAGACAGGTAAAAGAGGATACACTCAGTGCTATTAACATATTAGTCTGTCCATAAAACAGAATATCTCTAACGCCAGTTTCCAATATAGTGACAAAATATTACATATTAAAATACACACCATAAATTATTCTGACTTTATACTCTCCAGTCTAAGGACTACTAAAACTTTAAATCACAATTTAAATACTACATTCTAAGGTACCATTGTCTTATTTTGGTTTTCAATTTCTCTAACTTATTTACACAGTACATATTTTTAGTAGTTTATGAGGAAGTACATTTAGGTGAAGTAAGAATAAAGTTTTTAAGGATATCCATATCCTGACTTAAAATTCAGTTCCTCTTTAATGAAGATTTGGATGATACTTACAATCTGGGCTATTGCAAAGGAAAAGAAAGATCTCAGTGGATCACAGCTTATCTCTACACTCTCTCACATAATCATCTAAAGCAAAGTTACATCATTTTCGTCACAATTGATCCAATTAACAAAAAGAGACAGAAGGCAGGGACACAAACCAAAGGTGGGCTTCCTGCGATCAAAAAGTTAAACAGGAAAGAATACCGAGCTGTGATTAGCTGTACAGAGTCTAGTTGGAGGCCTGAAGCAAGCTGTACTGGATCTAGTGTTATTCAACATTTACATCAATGACATGCATGAAGGGATAGAGTACATTCTGCTGCCTTTCAGTAAGACCTGAACAGATGGGAGGGTTGGGCAGAGAAGAACTTGATTGATATTGACACCATTGTCAATATTCTACAACTTTTGGAGGGTGGCAGTATGTCCCTAACAGTAAAGAACTACAGATCTATGACAAAATATGAGACTAAAATTCCTTAGGTAAAGGAACAGGATCAGCACTGCTAAAGTCTTTGAAGTTATTAGAATCTGCAAATGCAACATAGAAACTTTTGAAAAATAAAACAAAACCTAGATAGTGATCTAGGACAACAAGTCTTCCATTCAGCAAAATAAACTACTTATCTGACCATAATTCAATGTTGTGACAATATAAGTGGATAGGTTAGGTCCGAAACCCAATCAAACAAAAAAATTAATTAAAAAATTATTACTGCAAGACAATTATGGGTAATACTGGCAGTATTTATGACGAAAAGCATTCATAGCTCAAATGGGAAATACATGTCCTTAGATATATGTAAAGCTTTTAACAGCTACTAAGCAGAACAGAATCTTATTTTTCCTAGATAGTTTAGACACCACTAAGCATACAGTCACCATGACTTTCCTGTAGCATGACAGCGTCTGGTCTAGGGTCATGTAACTTCCACTTTTGTCCCCCTTACAATTTCTGCCCATTCTGTAGTGGCAACGATGTCAACCACTCTATTGTGGCTCACTTTTTCTGGGACATTATTTTCTTACAACCTTGTGTAAGTTCAATTTGTTTTAAAATATCACATAACATTAATAGTTTACTGAGATGACTAATGGTAATAAAAATAATTGAACACAGAATCATAGAATTGCTTACGTTGGAAAACACCTTCAAGGTCATCAAGTCCAACCACAACCTAACCATAATACTCTAACATCCCACCTCTAAATCATGTCCGTAAACATGAAGCAATCTGTTCATTAGAAGAGGACAGAAAGATTTTTGCTGTAACGCTTAGTATTTGGTGAAAAACAAAATCAGTGGAAAATGAGAGCACCTTAAAAATAGAATAGTGACTATGAGACAAAAGGATATGCTATGCAGTAGCTATTTTTGCTCCTCTGTTAATCTTATTAAGTAGAAAAGATATAGAATCAGGAATAAAGCAATGAATGAAAATTAAATACAGTTCCTTTTTGATATTGGTGCTTAAGAACTTAGTCAGATCTGTTTTCTTGCCAGCCGAATGTGATTTTGGAGAAAAAATAATTGTTGCATGTATTCTAAAGGAAGTAAGAAGATATTCTGGCAAGTACAACACTATTTTGTATTTGTATTTGTATTAATTAATTAACAAAGCAAAGGAGATGAAATGACAATATAAGCCAATAACAGGCTAGGGAGCAAGGGAAAAGACACATGCTTCTTTTACTGTAATACACTATGGCAAATGCTATCTTATTTGTTCTGAGTTACATATTTTTAAGAAACTGGGGTCAGCCACTGGTCAATTTCAAGGACAAAAACATTTGACAGACTTTAGTGCAGAATAGACAAGACACAGCACTGAGTTGCAGTTCATACAGAAAGCAAGAAAAGGCACCAGACAGCCAGGCCTCAGAGAGAGCAGCAAAAAGGTTTTATTTTTTTTTGACAACAACAAAAATAAAAGCCTTCACACATTGACCGAAACAAAGTGTGGATTCAAGGATCTGCCTTTCAGAATCTACATGACCCAGGTGTTGTATGTGTCTATTAAGAATTTTTAAAATCAAAATGAAACTGGTTCTTGGAAATTTAAAAGCTGTTTAATACTCTTTTGGAATGCTCACTCTTGAACCAGATCTATACAGATATCATTTTTTCATTCTTTCTGTATAGTTCTGGAATATCTTACTACCAAAGCAGAATTCACCTAAACAAGCACAATCATTTATTACAGTGACTATTCAGAAAACAAATGAACACCAAAGGGCAACAGGTCAGAAACATGGGGTGTCAGATCAAAGAGCAATATAACAAACACTGAAATATCTTCATGAATAAAATTAGAAAGTTTGGATGTTTGTACAAGCTTTCAGAAACTCTGTACAACCTCATACATAAAACAGGCCATATCCAAAAGGCTCTTTCCAAAATTAGCTGTTTTTTCAGTGGAAATATTTTCCTGTTACACTAAAAAAAAAAAGGGGGAAATATCATATCAGCTTTCCAACCAATATTCTCATCTCCCTCTCCTCCAGCTCATAATATGGCCTCTGTCTTTCCACCTGATGATCCTTTCCATGCATATTCTCACAGTACTTCTTCAGGACTTTACTTGTGATGTTTTAATGAGCCAAAACTGGCTCATTTTAAGTGTCTTTAGGATACTGCATCCTACAGACAAAGAACAGGTAATGGCATTACTAAGGAAAAGTTCTGGTTGATAACTTTGCATTGGACCCACTCTGGACATGAAAATGGCTTTTCAAAGTTCTGGTTAAATAGAATTGAAATGCAATCCTGAATCAGTTTTAAAGTTTAATGGGAGAAGTGGCAGAGTAGGTAGGTAAGTATTTCTGTTACAGCTAGCTGTTTGCAGAAATTTAAGGAAAAAGGTTTTGTTTTTTTTTTTAGTTAGGGGCATATTGCCCAGTTGCATAGATGCTACAAAGTTCTTGTTCAGTAAGTAACATAAGAGCTAGACTTTACAACAAAGCTAAATTTAGCAGAAGAATATAGACTTGATGAGATGTGGTCGTTTCAGATGACATCAGATGACATGACTTCACAAAATGTAACACATTCAAATGACAAAAAGCTAGAAATACTGCTTACCTAATGTTTGTATCTTCTACTATAGACTTGAGCATATCTGAAATATGTTTCAAATGCTGCAGCCAGTGTGTAGATGGCAATTCTGAGGAGGAAGAATGAAAATAAAAGTCTTAGAAGATTGCTTTTCACTTTTTATGTTGAAAAGTTGCTGTCCAACTAGAAAAGAACAATAAAATTGAACACACTAATATATATAAATATATATATATATTTATTATAGTATAATATATAATACATAATATATTATATATAATATGTAATATATATATATATATAATATACAAGATATATAATATAAATATATATAAATAATATAATAAAGCTTTTGGCTTTATTTTGATTCAATTATCATCAAGGAATTAAAATTTCCTCTTAAAATTTTCCAGTTTTCAATAACTATTGAAAGAACTAAGAACTGTGATTCTTAGAACAATTGACAGAGCCATGTGAGAAATTACAGTTAGAGATACTCCGAATAATGCTGATGTATCCTTGTGTAAATTCTACCTCAATATTAACAGACTGTGAGTGGAGCAGAAGTTATTGCTCATGAAAAACTGCTCAACACTGAGCAGTATTTTTGTGATTATCTAAAAGGAAAATCTAAAAAAAAAGAAAAAAAAAGAAAAAGTTAAGTTTGCAGAACTTAAACAGCAGAACTTAAGCTTCTCCTATTCAGAGACAAACAACAAAACAATAGAGAATTTTTGTACATATATGGCATATAATCACAATTAATGATTTAGTATGCCTTGACTCTTTCATATTTTGTCTTCATTCCTAATGTCATAGTTAATACAAAAAGTAATGCATGCTGTCTTTGTTTTTTTGTCTTACAGTTTTCTTTAAAGCTTATCTGTGTTATAGTCATGTAATAATTAGATGTTTCTATTAAAAAATGCAATAAAATAACATTATTTAAGTTGCTACACTAAAAAACTCAGTTTAGGAAGTGGCAAAATTTAGTCTTAGTCCTTTTTAAATTTATTTAACACATATAAAGACAATGCAAGTTAGACAATGCTGCAAATGTGTCCTAAAGAAACTTACCAAAAGGGCGTCTTAGTAAAGCTATTACAAGAGGCTGGTGATGGTGAGGGAAGTAGGCCTTCAGAGGAAATTTATGCTAGGATAAAAAATTATTATTTTAAGAACTTTCTGGTCAGATTTCAAAACAAGCCCATAGCAAACAATCTCATCTAACACAGTAACCAGCAACACAGTCTGAAGCAAGAGAACAGAAGCAATTCTACACTTAATTTTAAGATATATATAAAGAAAGGGAGATACCTATGAAAAACTGTTAAAAATTATTTATGGATTGCTTATAGATTTTTTTTTTAAATACGTGCATTAAAAATGACTTAAAACTGTGAATAAAATTATATTTTAATACTAAGATATTAAGATATAACCTAATCACATTAATAGGCTTTTTCCTGCAATCATGAATGTCCTCATTCTTAATACACAAAGGCAAAAATAGATGATAGTTCAATTTCATTTTCGGCTGTAAACAGGCTCACAGACCACATCAAACTAAGAATTAGTAATATCAGCAACATATGAGTGTAATGTAGATTATTGCTTGTTTAAAAATGGAAAAGCAAAATTCTTAGGATGCAACTCAGCACAAAGTAGGGTCATCGCAGATAACAAACCAGTCCTCTATTTATCTGAGTGTTTGCAATTTAGATGATGAGCACATAGCTGCTTGTGTAATCATTAGATTAACAGCAGCATACCTTTAATCTTTTTGTTCTGTAAACATCTAATACAGGTATGTCCAAGGTACAGCATGAATGTGCAAGTACAGTATGAACTCCATTTGAGGTGGATTGAAACCTGGCTGAACACCCAGGCCTAGAGGGTGATGATGACTGTCATATCAAGCTGGAGACCAAAACCAGCCAGTGTACCCTAGGGGTCTGTACTAGGTTTGATCCAGTTTAACACCTTCATTAACAATCTGAATGATGGGGCAGTGTGCAACAGCAGGTTTATTTGATGACACAAAAGTGGGAGTAGTCATGGATACATCAGGGGGTCATGCTGCCATCCAGAGGCTGGAGAACAGGAACCACGAGAAGTTCATCAAGGAAAAGTGCAAAGTCCTGTCAACTTAGAGAGGAACAATCTGAGGCACCAGGACATGCTGGGGGCCACCCAGACAGAAAGCAGCTCTACAAAGAAGTACCCACGGTTCCAGGGAACACCGAGTTGAACATGAGTTGACTGGGTGTCCTCATCACTAAGAAGGGTAACGTTATTCTTGGCTGCACTAGGCAAAGTATTGCCAGCAGGCCAAGAGAGATAATCCTCACACTTAGCACTGCTGAAGCTGCACCTGGAGCACAGTATCCAGTACTGGGCCCCACAGTACAAGAGACCTGGAGATACTGGAACAGTGTAAGACCACCAGGATGATCAAGGATTGGAGGAGACTGATCATCCTGCAGAACACTCAAGGGATCTTACAATCATAAAAATATATTGAGTTGGAAGGGACCCACAAAGATCATCAAGTCCGACTTCTGGTTTCACATAGCACCACCCAACATTCAAACAATATATCTAAAAGAGGTGTCCAAATGTTTCTTGAACTCTGACAACCTGGGGCCGTGCATGCTGCCCTGTGCAGCCCGTCCCATGCCCACCGCCCTGTGGTGCAGAACTGCCCCCAGCTGCCCTCCCCTCACACAGCTCCATGCCGTTCCCTCGGCCCTGCCGCTGTCACACAGAGCAGAGCTCAGCGCTGCCCCTCCGCTCCCTGTGAGGAGCTGCAGCCGCCATCAGGCCTCCCCTCAGCCTGCCCTGCTCTGGGCTGAACGCACCCAGAGGCCTCAGCCGCTCCTCACACACCTTGCCCTCAGACTCTTCACCATCTTCACAGTCCTCCTTTGGACCCTCTGTACAGTTTTATGTCCCCTTTCTGATGTGACACCCAAAGCTGCACCCAGTGCTGGAAGTGAGGCCACAAAGCACAGCAGAGAGGGACAATCTCTCCTCCTCAACCACTGGCAATGCTGGGCCTGCTGCATGCCAGGGTACAGTTGCCCTTTAAGCTGCCAGGACACACTGCTGGCTCAGATTCAACTTCATCAGTGTCTACAAACACCTGACAGGAGGGTACAAAGAAGTGACAGAAGTGATAAGAGGCAATGGGCACAAACTGGAACACAAATGGGTTTATCTGAACATTAAGAAACTCTTTTCACTACAAAGGTCCTTGGAGATATTATAAGCAGTTTGGACATGGTCTTGTGCAGACCTGCTGTAGATGGCCCTGTATGAACAAAGGGCTTGGAAGGGCTTGGGTCCAGATGACTTTTAGAGATCCCTTCCAGCTAGTTCATGATTCAAGTGTCCATACCTTAGAACTGTATCCTTCCTTTTAGAGTAAGAGAATAGCCAGTAAAACAGATCAACTCTTGAAACACAGAGTAGGAATATGGACCATAGAATGTGACATCCTTCTAAACCCAAGGAAGACCACTTTCAGTTTGGGTAAACATACTTGCTGTGTGAAATACTTGTATGTAGCTTATAAATAAATAGAATGACATATTCCCTCACTACTCATTTTTTTGCTCTGTAAACAATAATTAATTGAAATTATAGCACAGTAAGATACACAGTAATCCTAGCCAGTGTATCACCAACATGGTAAGGCTAGAAGTCTATTTATCAGGTGGAACTAGGTTAATTAGAAAATAATAATCCCTATATTAAAGTATGCATGCAGTCAATTAGCTTGAATCAAAAATCCCCTTGAAAAAGCAACCCTTGACACAGTTATTAGTAGCCAAGACAACTCACAGCATAAGTTGCATATGAAACTTATGAAAGTACTGTAAAGGATGTGAAAATCAGTTTCAGTATATGGCTTAAGCAAAGAAAAACATTTTTGTTTCCTATAATACATACACAGTAGTTTAGGCAGATCTTTTCTTGCATCAACCATCACAAATTGCTGAACAAGGTACCAAGGGACAGAACTTAGAATCATAAAATCATAGAATTGCTCAGGTTGGAAAAGACCTTCAAAATCATCAAGTCCAAACACAATCAAACCATACTGCCCTAACTAACATCCCAAACTTGTTTGGAAGTGGCTGATTATACCAACTGCCATGATGTAAAACAGGAGATAAAAGTTGAAGACGGTCGTAAAATTTTTATCTAGCTACCTAAAACAACATTCTGAGGTGAAAACCACTTACAGCCCTAATGCAAAACAACCCTGGAAACAAAACATTTCCATTAAATAAAAACATGAGCTTTAAGTTTATAAATTTATAACTAACCTGACCCAAAATCTTTAAGCCAGCCTTTGCTACCATCACAAACTTGAAGGAAATCTGCTTCTACAAAGCACGAAGAGGATCATCCCAACAGTGGATCCCAGTACAGTCTACAAAGTTTTTAGAAAAACCAGCAAGTTCTGACAGTACCACGTAGGAAAAGGGGATAATTCTCCTGCTATCTTCTAAACCTGTGCAGCTGTCAGACATGACTTGGTTCTTCAAAGCATTCTTTTTGTACAATTCTATTCATGTAGCCTTTTTTCAATTAATTCTACTCAAAATGCTTAGGACTTCAGATGACCTAGCCACAGTCTTCTTCATTCTCTGTCATTAACAGTTTTACCATTCTCCAAAGAAAAGTAAGGGAGGAAATTATGTCACTGACAGAGATCCAGAAAAGAGGATGGACAAAGATGGGTGCCTTATGTATACACATAATATTAGTAAGACAAAAAATACAGACTGATTTAAATCAAGTTTAGGAAGTAATCTGCTAGCATATTTTTGTGCCAACTATAAGTTTACTTTACGTGAAACAAGGGATTTTTAAATCATAAAACTGAAGAAAGCATCTTAACTAAACCCTCATAAATTAAACTGTTCAAGTAGGGAAAACATTTAAGACCACTTTCAGAGAAACAGGCAATAACCCACACTGTAATGTCAGTAGATGAAGGACTTTTCACCATGAAGCAAACACATCACCTGCACAACAAGATTAGCCCTTGGGTGTCTGGTGGGTGTGGGATCTTTACTTGTTTTCTTCACCCAGTCAACCAAGCCTGAGGCTACACAATGTGCTGCTGCCAAATGCAACCAGGGTGGCATAAAATTAACATACACAGCACCTACGTATTAAGCAAGACAGCAGCAGTTTCATCCTTAACTCATATTGCCTGAAGATAGAAGATGATAGATTCAGTCATGATAGTTATTAAAGGTCAGTACATCACATGTTCCCACACGAAGTCCCGAATTTTCTTAACTACCATCTCCCCAAGAAGTTGCAAAACTATAAGGAATGGAAAATTTCCTTAAGTCTAAAACAAAAAGTATTAAATGATAATTTCCAAACTTACAACATAGGCATTGGAGTTAAAAGAAAACAAAGGAGACAGCATGATTAGCATGTGAAGTTGCAGCATGATCTAAGAAACTTAACAAGAAGTTTGTTACCCATAGACAGAACAAAACCCTTCTATATCTCCTATTTTAAATTTTAAAAGTGAGAAGCTGAACCTGTTGTTGGTTTAAGTCATACATACAAAAAATTATCTACTTAGTTCAGTTCAGTATGAGCAATGTAAAAGCCTGTGCAAAAGAAAAGATGCTGAGCTGGGGAATTTGAAGCTTTAAACTGAGGAAACTTTTCTGAGTGGCTACCACTGAAGGCCAGAAATTGGATGGTGATGCAAAGAGCAGACAACAGAGCGGGCCAAAGATAGGGTTGGGCTTATTACATCTGTTTATTCTCAAGAACTCTGCTACTGCAAAAGAAAAGCTGCAAAGTTTTTTGTCTTTTCTGTCAGAGATGCATGAAAGAAAACATACAAGCACACTGTAACAATTTAACTGCCCCTGAGAAAATTATAGTTTAGGTTGTAGAATTATTCCAGGATAAGTTCAGGTAAATTTCTCTGGTATACTGGTTTCATACTGTATTTCTATTAACAAGTAAAAATGTCTGAGCTGAAATTTGGCATATATGTACAATCATGGGAGGACAGTACTATCCAGTGACCATTCTTATCAGTTATCATTCTTTCACTGAAAAGAAACATTAAGAAGATCTTGACTAACCTGCTTGTTTTCATTCTGCTGAACCTGAATGAAGAGCTGTATAAATACTTGTATTATGGTCATAACTTCAGGAGCTCCATCAGTTTCCAACAGCACATTCCTGAGATTGGAAAGTTAGATTATGACAGATTAGATAATTTGTCTGCCAACTGTAGCAGTGTTAATGAAAGGAAGAAAAAAAGGAACATTCTTTCCATGCTCTAGCTTCAACCTGTGCCTTAGCTCACCACATTAATTATGTCAGAAGTACTAACCCTGCAATGGGTTTTGTTCTTTTTTTAAAATAAATTATATGCAACATTTACAAATACTCTGGATTTATTAGGTACACACAGTATACAAAAGATGCATATAATTTACCCTAACAATAGATGAAAAAGGATAAAATTAAAAATCAGACTATCACAACATTCTTAGGTAAAACTGGTATTAGAACAGTTGACTGAATGCACACATTCCCACACCTACATATCTAAGTGCTTTGATGGCAGGCATTCACAGCCATGTCAGAGTGAAATTATAATCTGGAATATTCTACCTTGAGCATAAAGTATACATATGTATGTCCTGACAAGTTGTTAAATAGTGCACTCTTAACGTAGTCAGGGAAAAGAAATATAAAAGTTCCATAGATTAAAAATTACAGAAGGAGATCAAATTTTAATATCAAATAATACAGATGCCAGTCAATCACTGTGACTCCTTAGTGAACGCCATCAGTAAATCAGCACAAACAGAAATAACTATGTACCAAAGGCACACTAGATCCATAATTAGTGCAGATTTCATTACAGATTAATGCATTCCAAAGTGCTTTCATGGGTGAAATCATCAAATCTATTCTGGAGGTTCAGGTAGGTGAATGCTTTAACTGGCATAAGGCATAATGCAACCAGTCCACAAGTGGAAGACAAAAGTACATGGGCAGCCAATAGCAATTTTCATTCTCATCTTTGAACAATGTGGAAAGCCAGGAAAAAATTTCAAAGTAAGTTGCCGCTGTGATTTCATAGGGTTGGGTATTTTTTGTTAGATTTGTTTATTTTTTTCCATAATGATCAAAAGGATGAGAACAACGAACATACTACTGTAATTCAGAAATTTCATAAAATTATGGGCATTTTAAATATAAGAAATAGTACACAAACTCAAACTAAGAGTATGGAATGGACTATAAAGCTGTACAGAACAAAATGTGCTTCTACTTGGGGTAAGAAAATGGGGAAACAAGTTAATATTTATGAGATAAAACAATTTAGCACAATTGGGTAAAGAATAGGAAAAGCTTTTAAATGTAAGAGACATAAGTTTTAGGTACATGTTTCTAAAAGAGTTTTAGGGCTCCCCCTGTCCCACTCTGCCCTCGGCCCTCACTCCCCTCCATACCTTCCAATAAAATAAATTTTATTCCAGGTGTCGGTACATAATACAATCTCCAAGCAGTATAATAAAAGTCATTTTTCAAGAGCTTTCTAAATTCCTAGATGTGACTACATTTGCAGCAGTGTGTTCACTCCTACATAGCACTTGGTAAAAGTTGGAGGGATAGCACAGGGAAAAAAATGAACACAAACTACAGAAACAAATGGGACTCCAAGAAGGCTGAAGACACTCCAGCAAAATTATGACTTTCTTCTTAGATTTGATACAACAATAATGCATCTCAGGCTGATTACCATAGCAGCAGACAGTCTTTAAAAGAATGGTAAAATAAGAAGAAATACAAGCAAAGGGAAAACTCCACTGAAACTACAAAGGATTGGAAGCCCCCATGTGGTGAACAACATATATAGCTTCAAAATAACATGACACATTCAAACATGAACTCATTGAACAGGCGGGTCTGTAATTTAGTGCAAATAAGAGCATATCTGATCTAAATCCTGAGGATTAATAACGTAATAAAAAAAGAGGCCATGCTGGTAAGCAGAAATATTATAGCTACACTGCATGTGCATGCTGGCATGAGCCAAGCTATCACAGATTGTTTATAGCTTTCATATCTAAATAGTATTTCAACCATTAGTCTCTACTGAATTGGAAAATCGCTTTGAACTTCTGAAGGTAAAATACAATGTAGTCAATTTTATCAATAATTATTATATTCTATGTTTCAAATAAAGTTCTCAGGACTTTTAACATTTACTATTATTTGCAGTATATTACACAGAGGAGTACCCTGAAGCACTCAGCTACATGACACCCAGAATATGGGTGTCAGAATATGACACCCAGAAATTATAATACTACATATTTTCATGGAAAAAAAAAAAACCCGATGTACATTTCCCACTATAATTTCAAAACTTACTTGAAGATTTCGTTAACAATTCTAAAAATGGCAGGGTGGCTTGCAGCTTGTGTCTGTTCATAAACAAATGGAAGGAAATTAGTCATTAAGAAGCAGCAACTCAAACAACTGTCACTACATATTTTATGGCTTAACTCATGGATAAAATTATGCTGCAATTAACAAATCGTAAATCTCAAATCAAATCTATCAGATTTTCTCAAGATTAGATTCTTCAAAATCACAGGTAGGGAGCCACACTGACACCAAGCAGGCTGAGCAGCAAACAAGCACAACACCTGGGCTACAAACTGTTTATGACAGCAAGCACTAAAAATAGGAAGAGTGGTAGAAAAAACAAAAGAGGCTCTTGTGTGCAATTGCTGGAGGCAAGAGACACAGACAGGTTTACAAGCAGCTTTCCTCTTCCCCTTACAGACAATCCCTTTCAGGTATGCTTAGAGGTTCTCAGTACACCTTCAGAAAAAAATTACAGAAATTAAATTTATTTCCTTGCCTTTAACAATGCCAGGTGTATTTTGGTCTAAGATCAGTTCTTCAGCTACTGTGCTCTTCTGTGAATTGCAGAGTTGCTAAGGTTATTATCTCAGTATATCAAATTCTATATATTTTTTTTAAATTAGGGAAGCTTTCTGTGTTCATGGTAATATGACACAAAAGACTGTTTAAAGAAAGTCATTTTAAACATGTTCTTGTAAACACACTACTTTCTAATCTCATACTCCTAAATTCTAAGATTTAAATATAGCACCAAGATTAAGTAACTATTTACACACATAGCCTATGTTAAAAACGGAACAAAACAGAAGAACAAGTAAATGTTTCATGTTTCTGAAATTAGCACTGGAAGATCTGATGAGAACATAATTCCTGACCAATTTGGAATGATGCATGTCTAACAGAAAGCATTTTATAGATTTCAGAATATGTGGAAGTAACAGTATTTACACGTCTTTATTGTTAACAGGTCTAAGTGTCTGAAGCACCATCTCAAACTTGGTCTGCATCTGTTTCAAGCTCATAAGAATTTTCTGTTTAATTAAACATAGGCAGAATGAGGACTTTTATCTGAGATAATAATCTCAGAAATTAAGACACAAACTTTAATAGAAACTACTTAGAAGACCTTTTAAAAGAACAGCTTTTTTGTCATGGCTGTCTTAGCACACTGTAAATACTAGAGGGCATCTTGTTTTCATGTTTCACCTTACTTTCTCTCTGTGACCCGGCTGTAGCTAAATTGTCCCATTGAACGTGTGCCACCTAGTGTTTGAGAGTATTTACAGTTGGTTGCTTAGACAGGATAAACGGCAGGCAGCTGGTTACAAGATTGGACTCAAAAATTCCACCGTGCCAGAGGAAAACCTGGACCAGACAACTTCCATAGGTCCTTTCCAATTTCTAACACTTTCTGGAAACAGTGGGGAGTGAAAACAATGTTCTACCAGTCCTGTGAGTTAAATTCAGTTAGTTCTCTGCTACCTTTTCATATATTCCGTCTTTAACACACAAAGTCACTGTTGCCTAAGACTGGTAATTGATCAACCAGCCATGCATATTAAGATAAAACCACAGTTCTTTACGAGAAGACCAAAATAAAAGAGCTCAATGGAACAGCAAAAAGTTTTTCACATTTTCCACCCATACAGCAGCAATCAACAATAATCACTACAAGAAAACACTATCAATAGTTTCCTCTACTGTTTCTATACATGAATACTACTAAAATAAAGGGTTTCATCACTGGAATTTGAAAGCAAAAGAAAAGTAGCCTCATATCACAAGATTTTGATCAATGCACTCTGTGCAATTTATTTGAAAGTACTCAAAATAAGAATATTATCATAGCTTAACAGTCTCCAAGGCAATCTGAAGCTGTGCCTTTGGTATAGCATGCCTTGCTATAGAAGACAGCAGGAAGAAATTCTTGAGTTTGGGAGGGTTTCTCATAGAGCTTCCAGTTTTTAACAATCTCTCTTCTTCTTTTTTTTTTTTTTAATTCTATTTTTCCCGCACTAATAATAGTTTATTATAATTTTATAATCCCATCTGTGACAATGCTTTTTTATTTTCAGAAAACGTGCAGAAAAACTAATCTCAACTGGGAGCCTGTTCCACCTCTTTTCAAGTACACATATTTCATACAACACAACAATTCAGAAAATCCAAACACAGGGAAATGGAGCACTTCATGTGCGAGCACTTCAGAAAACCACCTCACTTGAAAATAATGTGGTTTTTAAAAGAAAATAAGAAAAGACATGAAATACTATATACACAAGTTCTATAAAACTACAGTACTTTATTATCTGCATCAGCTGAAAGAAGAATTGTGAACAGCCCATGTGATACAAAACCAGTACTGAATGAAGAAATAAGAAAAATGGATTTGCATCTGCAGGATGCATGTACATGGGATATAGAGGAATATACTAGTAATCATAGACTCTATTGTAACAAAGCCAAGTAGGCATGAGGAAACAAACTGTACCCAAAATCACACAGTAAAAGATTTGAGTACCAGTTCTCTTGTCTTCCTAACACACTGCTGCATTTAAAATGTTTTTCTTCCAATTTTTATATTTACCAACATTCCTGAATTTTAAACTTAAAAATTTAAACAAATGAGAAGAATCACTTATTTTTTTCTTATACATTGTGCCTGACATACTTTTATTTTGAAGCATACAGTTATTTTGAAAGCACAAACATCTTTTTACATATACATATGTATTTTATTTTAACGCCTCTTGAATTCATCAAAATTACAAATAAATTAGTGGGTACTACTTCAAACATTTTACCATAATGATACAGGTTTTGAAGACAGGCAACACTGAGGAAGCTAATTAATTTAGCTGGACTGAATTAGGAAAAAGAAAACAACCCAAGCTTTTCATTTTCTCTCTCTACCCATTTTCCTTTTCCCTCTTTAATACTTATTTGATTTGCACAGCTGCCAACAAAAGGTAAGTATGGATCCAGCCACACTCAGAACCTGTGGATAAGGCAAAGCACAAGGAGAGTTTAAGGGCATAGGAGCAACAACAGCAAGGAAGGCTCCAGAGTTAGAGCTTTCAGTATAGAGCACAATATACTTCTCATCTATTGTGAAAGTGGGTAATGTGGGAAAACAAAACACAGCAATTACAGATGACTTACAAAGGCAAAGCTGAAAATACTAAGCCTCTCTATTAGCTATACTGGGATAAGATTTTCTTGCAACATGACTTTGAACATAATAAAATTACTCAGGAAGGCTAAGAATCGAACATAAACTGTAAGTAACACTGATTTGTTGACATATTTGTTTACAAAAATGAGTTTAGAAATCACTTCACATACATATTTTTATACTTCTAGTAAACTGCAAGATTCTGTTAAATATTAGTTGTTAACTTGAACACACAAACTTCAGTGTTGCTTCAGAAAGGAAGACATACATCTACCCATCAAATTCTGGAGAGACTAAAAGAAAATTTGTAGTAATCACCTCTTGTTTTTGCTGCTTCTAAACAGATATACAAATTCTAATATTAATTCCAGTTAAGTCTAGGAAAACACAAGCCTAATGGCTTACCTCATTAAACACAAGTTAGTGGATCATCACACTATAAAAATCCTCAAATTAAAATAAAAAAATACTGCATATCAAGTTTCTTTCAAAAAAGGTACAGTAGTTTACAACCATTTGAATAGTATAGGTCTTATAAAGTTTATATATTGCTTGGTTGCTGTTTCAAAACATTTTGTTTAGGTAAATGTCTCTGACAATGCAATTATGAAATGGGTTAGTGGTTTTTCTATCTCACAATATTCTCTGATCAAAACACTAATTGCTTATTTGCATTCAAAAGATTTTATTGCAAATGGAAGAAACATCAAAATCAATCAATTTGTGTTTCACTTTACCACTTTTTAATTACTATATCTATTAAAAAAGAGGTTAAAAGAGGCTGCATCTTACAAATACCATAATCCAACTGTCAAAACATGGTAATTCATACTACTAAATAAATATTCCTGTTTTTTAGGCAGGCTGTTGGATTCAAGGTGCTGACTGGTCTAACAGAGAAGTATCTTCATAGATCGGTGCATAAGTTTTACAGAATATCATTAGAATTTCAGATTACAATTTCTGGATCCAATCACTTCCCTCCTTACATCTTTGAAGCTTCTTAATTTTCAACTGTTAAGCCATCTCTCCCTTATATGCTCTATCTCTTGTCAGCTTCCACCAAAAAGCAGTATCATCTAACTGCACTGGTCTTTATGCTTCCTTTCATTCCACTCCTTGTCCACAGGATGTCCTCTGCAAACCAGCATTCAAAGCTGCTGCACTGGTCTTTCCTCTTTCTGAATGCTTTCTTTCGAAGGCACCTAACGCCTCTGGAGCAGAGGCAAACACACACAGTCAAACTGTGCTAGTACAGAAGATTTCATTCCTTTGTGGAAACTTTGTGAAAAAAATGTAAATAAGAAAATGAAATGAAAATCATTAACAAACAACAATTAACCAAAAATTAAAACATTTTGTTTCCTTTTATATTTCTTTCTTATTTTAACATAGATTATTTTTTCTCCACCATCTGTGGTATCATGCATTGTATTCAACTCACAGTGTATTTAATACAGAAACAACACACAGGCCTTGCATGTAAAAGTTGTCTTCTGGGACACCTCGAAGCTCAGACAACACAACTCAGGCCAGGCTCATTATTTTGGAAGATGCACTGTGTTATTATGTTTTCCAGTAAGAAATTAGATTTTTGGTGAACTGAGTAACATGGCATTTTAAAACAAACTAACTAGCTCTAATTACAGTTTAGAAAATATTTTATATTAAGAGCTTTGTTCAGATCTGCAAACAAAACTAAGTAGCTAAGCAAGCAGTCCACAATGAAGTAATCTACAGGCAATTTAATTGCTTAAACTGTTGTATTCCCAAGGGCACAGAGATTGAAGTAAAAATCCTCCCTGGAAAAAGTCTGTAATTTTTAAATACAGACAGGTACTAAGTACGGACATCAACTGGATTCTCAATTTCTCTATATGTTTTTCATCACTGAATGAAGTTCTTTTTTGCTCTCAGTTAGTTTGTTGCAAAAACTACTACAGTAAAAAAAAAAACAAATTACTGAAATGGACAAGAATCAAAATTTGCTTCTAGTAATTAATGCAGTTATTGACAGATAAAGGAAGCTTTACGCTATGTCACAGACCACTTCTCTTGAAGATGCTGACATATTTAAAAAATATTTAAAAAAAAGCCTGAAAGAGCAGTATCAAATGTAGTATGGTGTTGTACATACCAGACGTGAATCTTTTATGACACAAGCCACTTTTTCCAAAGAATTTATCTGAAGGGATATCAGCTGGTCAAAAAGACTTAATGTAGCATTTTCAAGGCTTGGTAAGTGACGATGCCAGAGGCTGAAGATAGCTGATTCGGAAAGGGAGATCTTCTTCCTGGTTTAAAGAGAAAAATAATTGTTTTTACCATTAGGAAATGGAAGACACACAGAAATATTCATTTTATTTTTTTCTTTCTTTCTTTCTTTTAAGCACACTTGGGAAAAAGAAGATCAACTTGCAGTAAAAGAGAAAATCTTGTTTGCAGTACTTTATTTGGTATAATATAACGAAGGCAAAAAGTAACACGGAATCACCATTACCTAAAAATTAAATCTCTCCATTATGGGAGATCCCAACAAATGGAAGCAAAGTATTTGAGGCTGTAATTCTCTTACACTCCAGAGAAAGGTTTTACTCCATGCCCACTTTCTTACACACCCAGACTGCTTCCCACAGACCTGTCTGCTCAGAGAGCATCAGCAGCTGGCAGGTCAGCAGGAAGGTCCTAGGCAATTTTACAGCCTTTAGAATTCTAACTTCCACTGAAAACCTATCCTTTTTCACTCAAGACTATCTAACAGCTTATTTAATCTATATTTTGTTGGTAGTAAGAAATATATAAAAATACTTTGAATTCAAAAAATTTTAAGCACTGTTCTGCTTCAAGATGATGTATGATTAATATTTTGAGTCACTATTAAAGAACACTATTAAAGAACAGGCAGATCAGACTAAATTAAAAATGATAAGAGATTTTTAATTTTATCACAATTCTGTTCATTGTTTTTGTGGTGGCATCATGAATATTATAAATACAACATCAAAAAAAGAAATCTAAGGTATTAGAGGTGTTACAACTCCAAGATTTAAAAACCATACAGGGAGCAAACTGTAGTCATTACAATAGAATCACATTAACCTCTCTGCTAAAACAGGCTCCCTACAACTAGGTTGAACATGAAAGCCTTGAGGCAGGTATTGAATATTTCCACAGGAGAAGACACCACAGATTCTTTGGGAAACCTGTTACAGTGCTCTCTGATCCTCACAGTAAAGAAGCTTTTCCTCATGTCTGTGTAGAACTTTCTGTGTTCCAGTTGTTGCCCACTGTCCCTTGTCCTGTTGCTATACACCCTTGAAAAAAGCCTGGCCCCATCCATTTGACTTTCATACTTCAGATATTTATAAACATTGTTAAGATCACCCCTCAGACTTTTCTTCTCCACGCTGAACAGACCCAGGTCTTTCAGTCTTTCTTCATAGGGGAGGAATGACAGAGCATGCAAACAGTCCCAGTAGAACAATGCTAAGTTCTGTGGAGAACGAGTTATAATTTTCTCCCTAGCATCCAGTGAACCTACTTCTTGAAAAAGACTTTACCAGTACTCAGAAATAAAACTGTTTCCAGAACATAATGACAGAGTTAAGAAACACATAATTTAATAACTTAAGTGGGAAAAAAAATATATCAAAAAAAGCCTCCCAGAACATTCATCTTATGATGAATTAAGATCACATGACTTTTAGAGAAGGTCAAGAGTATACTACAAAAGTGAACAGTGAGCCTACATCTGCTATCAAGGAAACCAGAAACTTTTGTCAGGGGCACTGTAAGAGGCATTCCGTCAAAAGCTATATGAATTGTTTTTGCTCACTATGATAAACACGGAGCTCAAAGCAATGTTTATTTTAATCAGGAAAGCCTTTTCTAACAAGCTAAAGGATTCGTACTCAAATTATGAAATAGTGAAAGTATGTCACAACTGACTGCCTGCTACCTCACTGTCATCAGTAGAGGCTACCATGGTGAACCAGTGTGCTTGTCTGTATAACTGTTCATGGAACAGACTGAAGATATAGAATGGGCAAGTAAAAAGACTACCCTTTTTAGGGACCCATCTTTTATTACAGATCTTCACATTTGTTTTCCACTTGTTTTCCCTGACTGCCAGGAACATATGCACAAAGCAGTAAATGTCTTTTTTCCACTAACAATGTTTGCTGGAAACCTTGGAGAGTAACAATATATACAATAGTCTTTATTGGAGCATCTTGAAAACAATGTTGAATACAGAGGGAGCAATTAAAACTTTGACTTGAAAGACATGTGCATGTATAATTGAAGTAAAGTGTTCACAAAAGATCCTTTCTATTACCAAAAAAAAAAAAAAAAAAATCTGTAAGACATAATTGTAACTTTGTACGAGCTTTTTTGCAATTTTTGTGTGTTTTTTGTTTTAAAGCTTTGTGTTATATTTTCCTAGCGCTAAGTAATCTTTTATTTGTCACACACAAAGACTGTCAAGTTCTCAAAAAATAATGTCAGTCCTACAATAATCAGCACTGCACAAGTTTGATACTCTTGTACCTACATTCTATGTTACTTATATGTTACTACTTCATGTAGTAACATATATGTAACTACTTATGTGTTACTAACTTCAGAAAGTTATTTCTCAAGACTTTCATTCAAACAGAAGATGCCAGGGACATCTAACTCAAGGACAGAGTGTCATTTGTAGGGATTTAGAGGAATTTCCTTGCTGACCAAACATGACACAGGTCCGCTACAACTGACTCAAAACAAAACTCAAAACCATCCTTCTCAGCTAAAACTTGAATAAATCAAATTATCTTTCCTTTCATGGCATAGGCAATTTTTCTGGTTTTCACCTTCACTCAGATGACTTATACATTAGTTGATTACTAATAGCAAAACAAGCAAAGCTATGTTTCAAAACTGCATTCATAAGTCTCATTAAAAAGAATCTGCTGAAAATAAGCAAAATCAAAAATCTTCATAAACACTCAACCACTCAAACAAGTCTCTATCTTATGAACGAGCCAAACAAGGCTCTCAAAATGTTAAGTTAGGAATGTGGATACACTTACATTAAAGGTAAATAATGTTTCTATGGAAATTGATAGTACCTTTCACCAGCTTACTAAAATCCTAAAATTTAATTTACTCTCCATTTTAGAGAAATGATGTAACAACGTTTCAGTTGATATTTAAAGTTCTCATGCCACAATTTGTACACCAGCAATTTAAAATTCCACTTTGGCTAATAACCTGAGTTCTTCCACTGGAATACAAAGGAGGGTTGTTTTTTGTTTGTTTTTATGCAGGAGATATATGGTGCATTCAGCATTCAAATCCAAAAAAAAAAGCCATTGAATTGAATAAATAATCTTTATAAGGAGAAGCAGAAAAAACATACGGACTGTACTACTTACTTTAAAAAGGCATCATTCACAGCCTCCAAGAACTCTGAGCTGAGAATTTCTTTCGATGCTCCCCCATGGTAAACAAGAAGAGTTTCCAGCAATGGAGTTAAATCAGGCAAAGTAATAAGTGGGAGACAGAAAAGGGACACAGCATTCACATGACTGATTGAAATTCTGAGGGAAAAATAAATACGGTTCCCATTTTAGAAAAATTTAAACTTTAATTTCTATATCCATGAGGCAAAGGAAGATTAAATTAATTGCAGAATATTAAATTAAACAAGACATACAAACTGCTGACTTACCATGATATACTATCTAGAATTCTCATAAAATTTTGATATTTTAGTGGTCAAGGCATACCATGTGAAGAACATTAGCCCAATTCTGAAGCGCAGACAGTTTTATTTGGTTAGTAATCACTGACTTCCTAGCATAGAATTCTTTGTCCCTTCCAGGAAGCAGCAAAGCAGAGGTAAAGAAGACTACAGTTTCACAGCTCCTGTGTAAGTTTGCTAGATTCTAGGAAGAGACAGCCTTGATGCTTTCAACACCTCCTGTTTCTTTCTTGACCTCTCTTCTCTTAATGTACAACTATAAACCAAATACTACAAATCCTGCTGTCTTTAAGTACTCAAAAAAAACTACTTGTCTTACAAATGTATACTTGAAGGAATACTTGAAGGAAGCAAGGACTATCAATCTTTATATATGAACCATTCACATGACCTGCTAAAACCACATGCTTGTAAATAGCAAAAGATAGCAATACAACTCATCACAAGCCTAAAACGCCATTTATGAACAATAGAAGCTAATTGTGACACAAATGCTACAATTTGTAGATAATCATAGTGATATTCACAGCGAGAGAAATTAGATGACATGTTTTCAAAGACTCAATTTTTTATTAAGTACCTAATAAAAAAAATTTGCTTAAGATTTTTCATACTGAAATACTTTGAGACAAAGTTTTGCTATGAGAAGTGATTCTGTAGAATGATAACTACTGGACTGATACTTATTCTGTAGCAATATTTTCCAAGCTATATATGTGAAGTTCACATACCCTGGGCACTTTTTACATCTGTCCCCTTTACAAAATCCTGTTTCTAACTCTATTCAGGATTAGCAAAATAGCTGCTTATTTTACTCTTTTAATTCTGGAAGAAAACCTTGCAAATATGTTTTTTCCTTCTCTGCATAAACTTCAAAATAGGGGTGTTATTGGAAAAATACTGTGCAATGCAGTCCACTGTGTGCAATGAATTTCATAAAATAGATTTACAAAAACATCCAGGTAAGTGTGGAAAATAGCCAAAGAAGAAAAACAGAATATATGATACAATGAAGATCTTTCAAACATCTTCCTCTTTCCTGTAACTTTACAGCCTATGTGGTATTACACAGGTAATAAAACTCATTTAATCAGTGTCAGCAGAGTCTGAAGAACAAGAGAGTATACACAGCAAGGCCATACATTTCCTTTTTTTCTTTTTTCTCAGCTGGAATAACAGAATTTACATGTACTCAGAAAGATACTGATGTAGTGTAATAATCTTTGAAGAATTCATAAAGATTATGATCTGCATTTCAAAGCCAGTGGAGAGAAACAGTTATGTCCAAAATAGTAGTGTTAGGTAAATTCCCTTTCAGAGATTTTGGCTTGACCTACTCTATCTAAATAGTGTGGAAGAAGAAAGTGATTTTTCTCATTGACTACACCTGGACATGTAGAAACATAAAATACAATGCAGCAAGACAATTGTTAGCATTGCCTGACAATCAAGATTGGAGATCTGGACAGAGCACATCACAGCTTCCTTCCCACACACTTTCCTAGACTTTCTTCCTCAGAAAGGAGGGTTATGGAAGCAGTTAAAAGGTAGATACACTAAGTGCTTGGGTTCATTTAAAACATCTGTTTGTGTAACATACTGTAGTGCCATAGTACTATTTGGTACTAGACAACAGATCTAACAATCGAAGGAAAATGAGGGAGCTAATTTTAAATGAGCGTGGACACATTTTGTCATTAAAAACAAATGCAACATTATTCTGCCATATGAAACTATTACACACAAAGGCAAAAAAAATCCTTTGAAATTTTTTTTTTTTTTGCTCTTACAGTAACTGCAAGTTTGGCTAAAAGAAGTTAAGCAGTAAACATGATGATTATCAGGTAAGTTTAAATTCTTACATGAACATAATTTAATAAGCTTCTTCATACCTGAAAATATCTACATGAGTAATTAAAGTTTTCAGGCTGATGCCTAACTGCTTGCATGCTCAAGACTACAAAAAGGCCCTCGTTGAACTAGTGACTGAAATTAAAACATATCAAAATTATATTTGGATAACACTTACCTCCCCTGAATGTTAAGTTCACTACATTGATTTCCTCTGAGTTCTGTTACTAATGAAGAGACGATCTGTTAAAAAAAAAAAAAAAAATTACATGAAAAAAAAACCACACTCCAGATAAGCAGATATTAGTTTCGTGATTGTCTGCATCACTGATACTCTGTGGAGGTAAGTAACTTTTCATTTTGACTCAATCAAATTTTTTTAAGTTATCAAGCCCAAATCAAAACTGTCCAGATCACTCATTAAACCATTCAAAACATTTCTGAACACATTCTATATCTTCCACATTTGCATACTAACAAGCTATTTTAGCTTTGTTAAGAGCTGAGGCAAAACTTTTGGAAAGTCAGTAATTTTTAGATGTTTTACCTGATTCAGTCTATTATCAGATACTATTCCTGATTTTTCAATATATCAAAAATAAAAGAAACTTTTCTTAAGATTCAAAGCTCATCTACTATTTTGAATGCAATGCATGCAGTCAAAAAAAACATTCAAAATTTATGTTCTAATGTACAATATATATATATATCATTTAAACTTCAGATGGAAAAAAATGAATGTTAGGACAGACATTTTGGCTATATTACAACAGGAACAAAATGTTTTATCAACCTCTACTCAACCTCTACTATTATACTCTAACAACAAAAAAAAATTATTCTGTCCAGAGATTCATTTTATTTACTTTATTTTCTCTCTTAAAAGGCTGTAAAAGTAACTGAAGTAAGAAAGATAAGCAAAGTTCAGTTCATGTTCCTTGTAACATTGACAACTCCTCGTATGTGCTTATAAACTGGTGCTATTAATAACAAAATCTCAACTGCACAAAATACTTACATTTTCAACCAAGTGACAATAATAATCTGCTGATGTGTAGCCAAGAGCTGATATGAACGTACTGGTTTCAGCCTCGTTTTTTTCCCATTTAGAAGAAGAAAGGAGATGGCACAGTAAGTTCTGGAAAAAAGGAACAAAAGAACAATGCAAAAAAGTATTAGGATACAGTATGCTTAGGTAACAGCTTTCTAATAGCACAATGGTTTCCAACTCCAGCCTCCCATGGTGCATGCATTGGTGCAGTGGCACTTCAGCTGGGCTCAAGCTACCTTATTTTCTTTCTCTTGCAGGGATTAGGGCAGTCAGTTTGTCCATGTAACTGCATAATACTATGTATCAAGCTCTCTCTCAGACTTCCATTGTTATGACTGGTGATTCCTCTCTTAGCATGACCACTTGCTTGAAAAGTTTGTTGAGTTGAGCACATTTACACCCATTACACTCCCATCTGCTCTCAGGCCTGTAGTGAAGACTTCCAGATTCTGGAGCTCCCCTCAAGCAAATATCTGGGCTGCTCTGTTGCTCCTTTGGAGCTCTGTGTGAGAGTGCACATCAGCCTAGGAAAGTTGTTCTCCTTCTGTCTGGGTTTCTGTCTCAGCCTGGCAGTAGTAGCAGGTGGGCAATATTTTTGTTTCAGTAGAAGTAATTAGAATAAGTTGTATTCCATGTGTGATATATTAACAGGAGAGAAGATACAATCAGCAAAAGCACACCAGAGATACATGAAAAAAATCACCATCAAAAGAAACAACAAGCACTTGGACATATTATTTATTGTACTTTCATATAGGATTGTTTTAGAACCTTACAGACTTATGTTAAATGTCTAAATATTGTTGTCTGTTAGTGTCAATGTTTTTTCCCGAATAGCCTGAGCTAGGAGAAATTGTAGTTCTAGCGCCACCTAGTGACTTTTCTGAAGAAAGAAGTCAGAAGTCAAAGAAAAGAAATCAGAAAGTGCTGTGAGATCACGGTTTCAGAAGTATCTCAGAAGTAATTTCTGCATTCTTAATGAAAAAAAAAACAAAAAACATTTAAACGGGGATTTTCAAAAAGTACACATTTCTAAATATGATTAAAAATTCTAAAATCTATTAAGTTGCACAACCTCCAAACATGTCTTGATTAATTTATTAATATAGAACCACAAATTGTATTATTTTCCATTGTAACCATTAGTCAAATTAGACTTCATTTTCAGAACACTATCAAGGATTCAGTCAAGTAGATCCTACAAAGCAGTATTTCTTGCTTGTTGCTTGTTTGTTTTGCATGCCTTTGGTTTGTTTTCCACATCCTCTTTTTCTGTGCACATCACTACATCCCTAATGGGATTTTGTAGATTAGTTTTTTTCTGAAATATCAAACCTCCAAGTAGCCAGAAGGACGCAAAGGAAACAGGGGCAAAGAGATGCTGTATGATGCTGTAAGAGATGCTATGAAAGAGGTATTCGATATATAAAAGAGACTTAAATACTAAAAGGTGAAAAACATTAAAAATTCAACTATACATCTTAGATACGTCATTTTACAGGCTGTGTCACCAGAGTAAAGCCAGAGAGATACTTAAATGCAAGTGAGATAACAAATTTGGAAACAATAAAGCATTTATCTTTATGTATTTGGGTTTAAATGCTTTCTCTGGTGCAAAAGATGTCTTAATTTCAGCAGGGATAGGAACTGTTTTCTTCAGAGCATCTGGTACGATGCTATGTTTTGGTTCCAGGAGAAAACAATTTTGATAGCACACTGATACTTATAGTTGCTGCTAAGCAGTGTTGCACAGAACACGGCCATTCACAGCGAAGAAGCCAAGGAGCTGGGAGAGAACTGAATTAGGACAGCTGACTCAAACTGGGCAAAGGGATATTCTTTACCACATGACATCAAGTGGAAGGAATTTTGAAGGAGGTGGGAGTTCACTGCTTGGAGTCTAGCTGGGCACTGGCTAGGAGGTGATAAGCAATTGTTTTTGCATCTTTTCTTATATACATTCATATACATTTACATATATATATGTATATATATATGAATGCAGGAAATATATATATATATATATTCCTTTTCCCTATCTTAGTAAATAGTTTTATCTCAATGCACAAGTTCTTCTTCGTTTTTTCCTGATTGTCTCCCCATCCCTGGGCAGGGGGGATAGCATGTGAGTGACCGTGGTACTCAGCCACCAGCTGGGTTAAACTACAACAAATGTCCAGAAATTCTCCTCTCCAGAAAATGTAACTTATTTGTACACCTAATTCTGTTTACACACAATGACTTATTACACCTATATATTTCATTAGGTATGAAAGAAAGCAAACATTCACAAAACACTTCTACATTTACTTAAGACAGATTGTTTCTTGAAAATGTGATGCTTTAAGTTATTCCATCACTTCATCTTCTAACAACACACCTGTACACAAGTACAAAAGAGAGGAAGGGGATTTATATCATCCAGAAATCAGCTTATATTTAAACTAAAAGGCAATTATATCTCTTGTCTTTATCTCAAGCCTTAAAGTTCACAGACAAGTGTCTAAATTCCAGTGATTCTCAGACCTAAAAGAAAGTATCATTAGTTACTTCACATCATGTGAATGGGCTTCAGAATGGGGTCAGAACCAGACAGCTGTGAAACTGAGGAGTTTCTTACACATAAGCTTCTCCAAATAAACTCTTTGAGAAAATATTATAGAGAAATCTAGAACATTTTGGAGGATTTTGTTAAAAAGATTCTTATAGAATGCTGGAAATATTGAGAAGTCATAATAGGTTCCATTATTGTATTACAAAGCATTGTGAAACTAACATAACTATGTAATTGCTACTGTGTGGAATCCTAATATCAGAGGTCAGTGATTTAAGACTAATCAGCTTTAAGGAACAATTTGAAAGCCAGAAGAAGGTACTGAAGAATATGATGGGATGTGTCAATATTAAATGCAGCGTTATGCTCATGGTCACAGTCACAGATTCTAATCTAATTCAACAAAGAATACAATTTGAGATTTACACAATTGTGCATTATTTCCGGCAGTAAATCAGTTTACACTCACTTTTCTAAGTCACTAGCACCATGTTACACAAGGCAGGAAAATAGATCAATCTGTGGCCAAAGTGTTTCACTAAGAAGGTTAGAATACTGGGAATACTTTAAGGAAGTTATTTTTAAGGTGCAGTAGCTGACCATCCCCAAGCCATGGAAGATGAGCTGGTGGAGAAGGAGACCAGAACGGCTGAACAGAGACCTTTGGCTGGAACTCTGGAATAAAAGGGAAGTTTATGGTCTTTGGAAAAGGGGTGAAGCTGTTTATGAGGATTACAAATACACAGTGAAGCTGTGCAGGTAGAAAATTAGAAAAGGTAAAGTCCAGCTAGAACTTAACTTGGCCACTAAGGAAAACAATAAATATTTCTATAAATACATCAACAGTAAGAGGAGGAGAAGGGGGCTAGGGAGAATCTCCATCCTTGTTGGATGCAGAGAGCAACATAGTGATCAAGGATCAGGATAAAGCTGAGCTACTCAATGCCTTCTTTGCCTCAGTCTTTAATAGTAAGACTGGTTGTTCCCTAGGCACACAGCCTCTTCTACTGGTACATAGGGATAGGGAACAGAATAGGCCCTGCATAATCCACGATGAGATGGTTTTTAACCTGCTCTGAAAGCTGGACACTCACAAGTCCATGGGGCCAGATGGATTGCACCTTAGGGTGTTGAGGGAGTTGACGGATGTGGCTGCCAAGCCACTCTCCATCATCCTTAGACAGTCCTGGCTAACTGGGAAAGTCCCAGTGGACTGGAGACTGGCAAATGCGGCACCCATTTTCAAAAAGAGCCAGAAGGATGGTCCTGGTAGCTGCACTCCTATCAATCTCAGTGCCAAGGAAGGTTATGGAACGGATAATTTCAGGACTCATCATGGAGCAATTATAGTCAACCAGGGATCGGGCCTAGCCCAGTCAGCATGGCTATGTGGAATAGAAAATTCTGCTTGACAAACTTGACATCATTCTATGACAATCTCATCCACTTAGTGGATGAAAGTAAGGCAGTCAATGTGATCCACCTGGCCTTTGACACTGCCTCAAAACATCCTTGTGGAGAAGCTGGCTGCTTCTCATAGAATGATAGAATTGCTCAGTTAGAAAAGACCTATCAAGATCATAGAACTGCCTGGTTGGAAAAGACCTTCAAGACCATCAAGTTCAACCACAACCTAATCATACTACCCTAGCTCCAACAATTCACCACTAAATCATGCCCCCAAGCACCACATCCAAACAGTTTTTAAACACATTCAGGGATGGTGACTCAGCCACCTCCCTGGGGAGCCTATTCCAGTGCTTAAAAACCCTTTCTGTACCCAACCTACATCCCCCCTGGTGCAACGTTATGTCATTTCCCCTCATCCTGTCACCTGTCACCAGTGAGAAAAGACCAAACCCTACTTTCAATGCAATCAGCTTTCAGGTATTGGAAGAGAGCAATAAAGTCTCTCCCCAAACTAAACAGCCCCAGTTCCTTTAGTCACTCCTTGTAGGGTGCATTCTCCAAGCCCTTCACCAGCCTTACTGCCCTTCTTCAGACCTGCTCCAGCACCTCAATTTCCTTTCTGTATTGAGGTGACCAAAACTTAACACAGTACTTGAGGTGGGGCCTCACCAGTGCTGAATACAGGGGCAGGATTACTTCTCCTGATCACCCCACCATTCCAGATACATCCTAGGATGCCACTGGCCTTTTTGGCCTCCTGCGCAAACTGCTGGCTAAAATTCAGCTGACTGTCCATCAGTACACCAAGGTCCCTTTCTGTCAGGCAGCTTTCCAACCACTCTTCCCCCCAAGCCTGTAGGATTGCCTGGGGTTGTGACCAAAATGCAAGACCTGACACTTGGCCCTGCTAAACTCATATAGTTTACCTTGGTCCCTTGGATCCAGTCTATCCAGATATCTCTGTAGTGTCTTTCTCCCTTCTGGTAGACCAACATTCCCTCCCAACTTGGTGTCATCTGCAAATTTACTGAAAGTAGACTGAATCCCTTCATTAAGATCATTAATAAAGATGTTAAATAGGAGTGGCCCCAGTACTAAGCCCTGGGGGACACAACTGATGATT